TGGCCATGAAAATAAATAGTTAACTTATATGCTTCAATTTATTATGCAATATTGCTGACATTGACTCTGCAGGCAAATTCATGGTTAAACCATATTTGAAGTGGACATGTATTAAAAGGGTGGTTTGTTCCACCAATGGTATGGGTATATACAAGTTGAGTGTTAATTTTACCTATTTTGAATTGAAATGTGAATCATCCCACGCCTACAACTGGAATGAGAGAGAGAGAGAGCCAGAACTAATCTTTATCCCGGTTAGGGAGAATGCTATAAGGGAACTAGACTATTCAAGTTTTTTCCAACTAGTTTGAATATATATATATATATATATAATTTTTAATAAGGGTAAAGTGCAAAAAAACCCCCTTCAACTATGTCTAAATTTGCAAATAATTCCCCTGAACTATGTTTTGTGCATAAAAGTTCCTAAACTATCACATTTAGTTGTAAAATGTCCCATCGTCTTACCTATTTTTCATTAAATGACCATAATACCCTTTCTTATTGAATTATATTTGATATATTTTTCTTGTTAAAATAAATTATGAAAAAAATTCATATTAATTTGATAAAATATTCTCCATTAAATTTACAGTAGTTTGCCTTTAATTTTTTAAATAAAATTCTTAAATATAAAATTTTGAAACAATTTAAGTAATTTCATAATTTTCATGAATATATTTATATTTTTTATTTACTTAATTTATTAATTTTTCATGAATATTATTTGAAAAAGAAGATATTTTTTTTATACTAAAATTTTTTAAAGTGAGTATAATAAGTTTTATTATAATGAGTTGTTCATTTTAGAAAGGGTTAAGCGCAAAAAAAAAACTTGATATATAAACTTTGTGCAAAACTAGTTCCTACTTTTTGAAAATGTGTATGCAAGTCTACAAAATTCAAAAAAGGTGCAGAACTAATCCATCTGACCATTTTGCCCTCACCCATTTGTGCATACAAGGACCCTACCCTAAACCCAATTCCCCTCTCTCTCTCTCTCTCCATGTACCAGACCCACCTATATATAAGCCACACACGCATATATATATATATATATATATAGAAGGAGTGAAAAAGGGATATGCACAGACCTACCTTGTTAATCCCTTCACCGAATTTAAATACGGTCGACTTTCATTTGCACCTTCGATCGCAATATTGAGAATTTTTTTCCTGAGTTTTCAAGATTATCAATTTGTTTCCTCAATTGACTCCAAAATTTCTCTCTTAGGCAATCTTAATCGCCACCGGCGCAATATCGCCTCCCCTCGGCAATCTTCATCGTTGCTGGCGCAATATCGCCTCCCTCACCACCAGTCAACGGAAGGAACTTTTCACAGCCCACCGTCACAATATATATATATATATATATAGTTGAACAGAGGCCATGGATCTTGTATATTGTTGATTTGTTAGTTCCAATAAAATAATGTTAAGCCATTTCAATGCATACTTGGTTTTGGAAAACGAAGAGAACCCAAATGAAAGGGATTTTACAAATTTAATTGTGGAAAAGGAGTAGTTCAAGTTGGGGTTTGTTTGTTTGTTGCGCGAATGGTACAAGTGCAGTGATTGATTTATCAAACAACTTAAGACATCAGTGGTGAAGAAGATGAACGTGACTAGCGTGACTTGTCTTGCTGTGTATTTTTTACGGCAGAGAAGACTTGGTTTTGATTTTTTTAAGTTTGATTGATTTAGACCAAAAAAAAAAAAAAAACGGCGAACCTGAACTGGAACAGCAGGCGATGGAAACTGAAAGATATGGGTTTTGATTTTTTTGAACAATCTGAAATGATATGCCGATATGGGTTTTGAACTTTTGATTCTTGTAGCACATAGATAAACTAAAATATATGGGTTTTGAACTTCTGATTCTCGTAGTTTGCAGTTACAGAGAGGGGGAGGGAAGTTCAAAGTAGAGAACGAGAACAGCGATGGAGGCGGAGGCTGAAATGATTTGCCCTAAAACCCATCATCCATGAGCCTATAGATTTGCCATTATACATGGTGTGCACATATATATAAAAATGACAAATTTATTTATATTTTAGAATATGAAAAGGCATGTTTGGTTTTAGATTTAATTATATTCAGGTTTAAGTTATTCCTATTTTATACAATTTGAGGTTTATTTTATCCTTCTACCAAACAAACCCCATTTTATACAAATTTGAACAAAAAAGTCATTTTACAAGGTATGTATTTTGCAATCATTAATTTATTTAATTGAAGTGGGGGTATTATCTTCATTTTACATTACTAATGGACCTATTCGCACCAAATTAATAGTACAGGGTTTTTTTTTTTTTTTACCACAACTGATATGCATTATATCGATAGTAGAGGGAGGTTTTTTTCACTTAACCCTTTTAGAGAATGATAGTTGCAAATTTAGTTATTTATTTTTCTATTTTTATAATCAATTGATACTAATTATAAAATTAAGATAAATTGTATAATTAATATTTAAATAAAAAAAAATATAATAAAAAATAATTTAACAAGAAATGACAAATTTAATAACAAAGAGTAAAATAATCTTTTGTAGGACAAATTTTTGCTCAGGTATTTTACACTTTGCCCTTTTTGATAATACCTAGAAAGAAAAAAAAAAAAAACTCCTTATACAACTTAAATCCCAAAAACAAAAAGAAAAACTCGGGAAAGGGAGAATCCTTTGCCCACTTCTCTGCCTCTCTCATTCCAACTGTATATGGATTTTAGATCCACGAGAAGATAAGCGGTCGCTCCAAAGGCTACGGCTTAGTCAAGTTCACGGCTTTTGGAGCACACCATTGGGAAAATGGTGAGTCTCCATCCATTCTTGCAGTGAAATGGCATCTATAATTTATTTATTATATATATATATATATATATGTATATATATATATTCTTGTGTTCATCTATAATGACCTCTTTGTCTTTGATTATCTGATGGTGTGTTTTTTAGGGTTTGTTTTTAGTGGTGCAAAATATATTTAAACAGGTGTCATATGCCACTTATTAGGACTAACTTTGGTCCTGATAAGACAGGACCCCGGTATTGATCAAAATCAGACATCCAATTTACCTCCCTCCCAAAAGAAATCCTATATCTAAAAATCCATCCATATTTGTTTCATGTCTAAAAGAATAATGGAGTCCTCTAAATGAACTACAACATCTACCTAAAGCCTGCATTTCATGTCGTCTTTAAGCATCCATAATTGGTTTTTAAGGCAGCAACCATGAAAATGTGAATACAAATGGGGGTGGTAATAAATTGATGTAAGGAAGGCAGGTGATTGGTAGTTCAGAATCATCATCCTTATCTTTTATCGTGTATGTTTGTAACAGGACAATCATAAAACATTAGAGGAACTATCATAAGCAGCAAGACCACCACCACTTGCAGTCCATATAATTGAAGCAAACACTGCATATGGAAACAATCATATAGTTGATATGTCGCGAGAAAACTAACTTTTAGCTTAGGGTGAAAAAAAATCAACTCTTATGTGAAATACATGAAGTAATATATACATATATATATATATATATATATATATATATATAAGTAGAGAAATTGGATGACATTAATGTTAGCCCAAGTGCAAAACAATAACTCAAAATCTGTTGAAAATTTGAAACCAATTACGTGGAAAGATGTTTCAATTTATGTCATGTTGTATTTGATTTGGACGGTCTAGATTCATGGATGGATTCATCGAATTCTTGGTCAACTTACAAATCAAAGATGTATGGAAAAAAATACAAACCCTTACCAGTTAATAGAATTCTGGTTACAGCTGCGGTGGGATAGTCTACGGATTTTATGATTTACATTTGTGAGGCTATGACAGATGAATTAGATTTTCTGATCCAAGACATGGCTCATTTTAGCCTATCTAATAATCCAACCACATATGACATATCTACTATCTAGGGCATTGATTCTCATTGAATTGGATGGATGAAGCTATTCTATGAATTAAGTCCACAAGTTGGCCTTATACAAGTCAAAGTAATACCATGAAAGATGAATTCAAGGCTGGCACAACCATGCATTTATGTAAAATTATTTGTACCAGGATAATAAAGAGAGACTTGTGTTCCATGTATATTTGATGTTGTAAAAACTAGGAAAACAGAAAATTGGAAGAAATTAATAACAGATTAAGCTTTGTTAGCTCAAATCGCTTTTGTTACAAGTTGGAAGAGACCAAGTCATTGAGTAAAATTCAGAAGCAACATTGGATCTTCCCCGGAATTTCGGACACATTGACGGTCATTTAATTATGCTTCTATCAGGAAGCTTTCAAAGAGCTTCAATTGAAGTTTCTTTCAGAAAATTATGTGAATCCGATTATTGACTGAGTCCTAAATATTAAGTTTATGAAATTAAGGTCAAGCGTTGGATATTTGTGAGCACTAGTCAAATAAATTAATCGTCCTGATTAAAATATATATTACTCTGATCTTGCACTTAATTCAAAGAAAGTTGGTCTGGTTGTCATTTTCAGCTAGTACATTGAATCAGACGATTACTAAAAGTCTAGGACTAACTTTCTTTTGCGATTAAAAATAAGAATAAAGAAATAGATCTCACAGATTAAGTTGACAAAAATGAGCATCTTTCAACTAGCTGCAAGAGGGCAGTGCTATTGATGCAACTTGTTTAAGAATCTTGTATTAATTGCAATGATCATGACCAAACACGAATTTTATTTCTTATTTTATTTTAGTTTTCTAAAAATGGTGTTGACTTTGTGAGTCTATGCATAATCAGAACCAATCACTCTGGGTAATGACATGATATTTACGTAATGACCATTATATTATTACAGAACCTGCAGTAGCTTAGTTTATGAAATGCCAATATTATTATTTTCCTTCTAAAATGCTTTGCAATTGAACATAATATTTAGTTAAGAGTTTTTCAATTCTATCTTGTACCAACACATGGAAGATTTGCATAAGTTCACTGAGTTATCACTTTTGTGGTTCAGTGGAGATCTTCAGAAACTTTCTACACCTACTTTGAAACACTCCTCAATCCGGTGATGATCATAAACTCAAAGATCTAACCAAGATGTACTCGTATTATTTGTAAGGCAGCTGCTACAAAAAGAAAAGTGGCTCTACAAATTAAAATTTTAGTCTCTTTTATGCTTAGTAAATATTCACACAATTTTTACATAAATTTCCCAATCCAATCAAATGGCTTGCATGCAAACGTTTGTCTGTCACTCACTAGCACATGGATTGAGGAAAGTGAAAGTAGAAAGATCCATAATGTAACTATGTGATATCATGTCGGTTAAATGACATAATGTCATCATTGTTTTGAATATTTCTAGTAAACACGCGTTGTGGGATATTTCGATGAAAGTGGTATTTAAGAAATGAAAAGTCAGAGTAAGATGAAAGAGGTGTTTTATAAGATCATAATTATAACCTTTGAGGAGAATAGAGTAGTAGCTTGATATTTCTTCCTTGAGCAAACCTTCGGAGGAAGAAGTAAAAATGGCAGAAATAGCAGTTTCAGTAGCACTGTTTTTCATTGAGGAAGTTATTTCCTATTTTGACAATAAAGGGAACGTTGGGAGTGATTTGCAAGCTGAAGTCAGGGCACTGGGAAGATGGTTGAGGAAGGCGCAAGCCCATCTGAAGGACATGGAAGGAGCGGAAAGCAATGAAAGCCTCAAAGAACACATGCATCAAATTAGAGACTTAGCTTATGACATTGAGGATGTTCTTAATGAGTACATGCTTTGTGTGCAACATCGAATTCATAAGCATAAATTCTCCAACAAAGCGCATGGATTTTTCACCAGCGTCATACACCGGAGTTTACTCAATGATGTGGAATCCAAGATAAAAGAAATAAAGAGAAAGATAGGTGAAATTGGAGCCTTGGATCCAATTCGTGCTAATATCAACGTCGCTTCTGCTGAAGAAGGTTCAACTTCCAGCTCGAGTGTGAACGTGCCTCCCCAACTTCTTGAAGATGAAATTATAGGATTCGAAAATCCTAGAAAAAAACTTGTTCATCAATTGACAAGAGGAGGATCCAGCCGCTCAACAATTTCAGTGGTTGGTCCTGCTGGCTCAGGTAAGACAACTCTCGTAAAGAGCGTTTATGAGAGCAAAGAAGTTAGAGGGCATTTCGATTCTCATGCTTGGCTTCGTGTCTCCTGTTTCTTTAAATTAGAAAAGCTCATATGCAGCATGCTAAAGCAAATAGGTGTGCCCAAGGAGCTAATTCCACACGAAGGTGTTGATGTACAGGCTAAAGTACTGAGAGACCATCTGCAGCAGAAAAGGTATGTTCTTGTTTTAGATGATATCTGGAGAAAAGATGATTGGGAACGCATTAAATTTGTGTTACCCAATGGTTCTAGTGGCAGTAGAATAATAGTCACTACTAGGAACTCAGACTTGGCCTCTTTTTGTGTAGAATCATCTGATTCTGTGATTAGTTTAGAATGTTTATCCTGGCCAGAGGCTTGGGGCCTTTTCTGTAAGAAGGCTTTCAAAACCGGTCGTGGAAAATGTCCTCCAGAATTGGAGGAATTGTCTCAGAATATTGTGAAAAGATGTGAAGGTTTACCGATTGCAATTGTGGCAGTGGGCTGTTTGCTGTCAAACAGGCCACAAGTGCCAAATGAATGGAAAAAATTGCATGACAGCCTTGGATCTGAGATTGGAAGTAACGCCAATCTTTCCATTATAAGCAGAATGTTACTGCCAAGTTACAACCTTCTTCCAAGCAATCATAAGAGCTGTTTATTGTACTTCAGCATATTTCCCGAGGATCACTCCATCGAGTGTGGAAGGCTTATACGCCTGTGGATAGCCGAAGGATTTGTGATGAAAGAAAGAGGGAAGACACTAGAGGAGGTTGCAGAGGAATACCTCAATGAATTAATTGGAAGGAATTTGGTTCATGTAAGTAAATGGGATTTTGATGGGCGAGCAAGAAGTTGTCGACTTCAAAACCTTTTGCTTGAGTTCATTGTTTCCAAGTCTGAGGATGAAAATTTTGTCTCAATTCTTTCTGAACCGAATGACTCAAGTTCAAGTGAGAAAGTTCGACGCTTATCTATCCATAATGCCGGCACCAATTTGTCATGGAGCACGCGCTTTAGTTGGGTTCGCTCCACATTCTTTTTCAGGTGGGATGGCCTTTCTCCCTCTCACATTGGAAATGTACTTTGCAACTTCCGATACTTAAGGGTTTTAGATTTGCAAGATGCTCCGTTAGAAGAGTTTCCTGAATATGTTGTTGATCTCTCCCTTCTAAGGTATCTAAGTTTGAGGCGTACTAATATAAAGACGGTTCCAAAGTCCATAAAGAAGCTCTCACACCTTCAAACTCTGGACCTTAGGCAAACTTATGTGACAGAATTGCCAGCAAAAATCCTGCAACTTCAGAATCTGCGAAATCTTTTAGTGTACCGCTACAATGTACAGAATTATGTAACTTTAAACTCTGTTGAAGGAGTGGCGATGTCTGCAGGAATTGGAGGTTGGACTGCCCTACAAAAGTTGTCACTAGTAAAGCCAGACAAGCAAGGCAAAATTATTAAAGAGTTAGAAGCTCTGAAACAACTGAGGAAGCTGGGACTAATTGATCTCAAAAGAAAAGATGGGAAGAATTTGTGTTCATCAATTCAAAAGATGCAAAGCCTTTTGACTCTTGATCTAAGTTCAATCCGCAATGAGTCTCTTGATCTGGACCATATGCCTAGTCCTCCGCCTCATCTGCAACGTCTATATCTCAAGGGGCACCTAGAAAAGTTACCTGGATGGATTTCCTCGCTTCATAATCTGTTCCGGATTGTACTGAAATGGTCAGGATTGCAGGGAAGCCCACTTGGAACCCTTCAGGATTTGGCTAACCTGGTGGCGCTCGAATTAGTTGATGTTACCTCTGGGAAAGAGTTAGTGTTTCGAGCTGGAAAATTCAGGAAACTAAAGATATTACGCATTGAACAATTTCACCGGCTACATACCATGATAATAGAGGAAGGAACAATGCCAGAGCTTCAAAAGCTCACCCTGTGTAGGTGCGTGGAACTGAAGATTCTTCCGTTAGGCATCAATAATCTTACTCACCTTAAAGAGTTGCTATTGTATGACATGCCCAAGGATTTCGTTGCTCAACTTCAAAAGACAAGCGATGACCGTGACATGGTTAGCCACATCCCTCTCATCCATTCGTTCACTCTTGGAAGCAACCAATTGTCATTCCAAAATCTTTCTTGATTCGGCTTGCAATATGGAAACTGCCACGTTCTGATACAAAAACTACCTTGTAAGGACTCACTGCATCTAAATTTTTTTCCACATAATTCATATCTGTAGTTTTATTTCAATGTCTACTGTCTAGTCATCAACATTGAAGATAAAATCTAAATTAGTAAGTTTTGCAATATTGCCAATGTTATGAATTGAAATGATTGTTGCGAGAGCGTTTCTTCTCCATTTTCAACTGATCTTTGTAACAGGCAAACCACATGATGTTAATGTCTAGGACTTTATTTCCATTTTTATGCATCATGATTCTTATGAGGTTCAGGTTCTCGGTGAAGACTCATCTGGAAGCATGTCATCTTTTGTATTTTTCACAATATAGCATTGCATATGTTATCTTTATTTGGTCCTACATATATCACTTTGTTAAAGTGACTTAATTAAAAGGTCTGTTGTTCTTTTGCCAGGCTAAACCGGCATTCGCTAAAGACGGCTCGGCGGGACTCAATCATGGGGACTACATTGCTGCAAATAAACTTCTATCAGCCAACTATTATCAAAAATAAAAAATAAAAAAACTTTCATGTTTCTACTTCCAAGCAATTGTCCCCAGCTTCTTTAAATGTATAATTTATTTATTTATTTTTTAACTTATTGTGTAAGCTTGTGTTGTAGACAGTTGAAGCGTGTAGTTATGTATTTTTCTTAATAAAAGTGGTATATGCTCCAAATTTTCATTCTATTACATTTGAAAAAATTGATAACCCTAGCTTACTTGCCATTCCTAACAATATCATCAACACCATGGAAGTAACCAAAAAAAAGTTTATTGCTTGGAACCCTTTGCCCCGTCTGTTAGAAAACCTAAAGTTTATTGCTTGGAACACATTAATTTGAACCCTTTGCCCCGTCTGTTAGACTGTTACTCTCTCTAATTTCAAGTGTATTTGGATTTCAGATTCAATGATGGAGCCAGGATTTCAAGTGAGGGGGGCAGGCTGTCAAAAAAAAAAAAATAATAATACAGAGTATATATATATATATATATAACAACTATAAAATTCAAAAGACAAAGAAGAAAAAAATTAAAATATAAAAGGAAAGAAAAATGAGAGAACTTTAAAAGGAAATAGTTGAAAAGTTTCAATTGAGTAAGAAAAATTTGACTTTTTCTACTAAGGAAATTTAAGGATTGCGATAAAAGAGAAAATAAAAAAAAATAAAAATATAATTTTAGGAACTAAAAATTTGAGGGGGGGCACTGTATAAATTTTTTCATATATATGGAATTTTTTTAAAAAAATTACCACATATATTATAGGTTGTTGACCAACTCGGGGGCACGTGCCCTCCCTAGGCCTTCATTGGCTCCGTCCCTGTTTAGATCCATGATGAAGAGGTCAGCACTCCAAAGGTTAGCTTCGTCAAGTTTGCGGACCCTTCAATTTTCATCGTCCAGGTTCTTGATCAGGAGCACGATGGCAAAAAGGTGAGTATCCATCCATCAATCAGCACTCAGTTCTTGCTATTGCTAATTTCGATTGATTATAATATATCTTCTCATCAGTGAAATGGCTTCTATAAATTATTTTGCATTCTTATAATCATCCATAATTGCCTCAATTTAATGCCCTCTTTCTTTTGATTTTGATTAGGGGTGTTCAAAAAATCAGGTAAATCGGAAAATCGGATCGGACAGGACTAAATTGGGCAATTTGGGCTAGTTGAATAGCGGTTTAGTCCGGTTCTGGACCCAAAATTATGGAACCGTAATTTTTCGGGCCGGTCCTGGTTTAGGGTCCTGCTAGACCAGACCGGCCTGGACCGAACCGTTATTATCATACCCTAAACTTAAATCAAGTAAAGTTTTCACGTCTCACGTGCCCCCCTCCCCCCTCTCTTTTGTTCTTTAAATTCCTAAATTTTTTTTAAAAAAGAAGTCAAATTTCCCTTTTCAAATATATTTCAATTTTCTTTCCTTTCAAATATATCTCAATTTTCTTTCTTTTTTTCTTCTTACAATTCTTCTTTTTGCGTGTTATATCAATGTTAGTTGATTTTTACTTTTTCTTTTTTAAAATTATGCCTGCTCTGAATTAAAATAAAATAAAAAAGGAAATTAACTGAAACCGACAAACCCAACCGAAGTTTGGTCTGGTTTCAAAAATAGTGGAACCGTTACAAATGGTTTCGTAAAAAAAACTCCTAATCCGGTTCAAACCGGACTGTGTGCACCCCTAATTTTGATGGTGTGTTTTTTGTAGGATTTGTTTTGTTAGTGTTGATAGTGGGTTTTGAGACAGGTTCTAAGTTCTAACCCGCCTAATTGGTGAGGAGGTCAGTCATACAGATAGCTAATATGATCCAATTATAAATGCACAAATAATTTGTAATTGCAAAATTGACAAAGTGATAAATTAGGAAATCAACGTAAATTTTTTTTATCAGGTAAGTTTCTTTTTTTATCTCCAACAGTATGTTAAAATACACTATCACATCACCGACATAACCTTTTTATAAAGTTACATCAACATATTTCCTTTCTCTTTCCTCTTTTTCATTCCATTAACGAATCAATCCTAGTAGGCTTGTAAAAATTATGTGGGATCCAAGCATGACACTGGTTGATTGTTATTGGGGATATATTTTTACACAAAAATGTATAGAATAACCTCTAAAACTAAAAATAAATAATCCAAAATTTGTGTGTAAATCTATTATGAAACATTAGATTTACATATAAAAATATACACAATGATTGGAGATGCTCTTATTGTTCTTATTTATTACTTTTTTATTTTGTAATTACGAATTATTTGTACATTTGTGATTGGTCTGGTTTTTTTTTATTTTAAAATAGTAGTCACATTTTTGTTGGGCCTAGTCACCTGTTAGGACCAGCTTTGTCTTGATAGGGCGGACTAAGTATTGTCCAAGCAAAATAAAATTCAGGCCACAACTTTACAAAGACAAATAGGAAGTATTTCTAGAAGCAACATTGCATCTTCCCTCAAGCCTCGGACACGAAGCTTCTTGAAGTTTCTTTCAGAAATTGATGTGAATCTAATAACTGCCTGTGTCCTAAAAAAATAACAATGTTCATATATTAAACTTATGAAATTAAGATCAAGCATTGGATATTTGTGAGCACTGGAAATTGACAGTAATGATGGAGTTGAAGCACATTTATGGGATGATAAAGCTGAAGAATACTTTATCATGTTGATGGATTATGAAAGAAAGAAAGAAAAGAACTTGAAAAACAACCACATTCACACCTCAAGGATGGAACAATCTTACCAATGCAATGAAAATGTAACCAGGAAGGAATAGGTGTTCTTATGACCAAGGACAACTACGGAATAAATTCAACCAATTGAGAGAAAAATACTAGTGCTTCAAAAAATTTCTAACCAATACAGGATCGTCATGGGACCCTGTTTCTGGGCAAGTGACGTTGACTTTGCCTCAGTGGGAGGAGACGTACAAGGTTAGATTGCAATTATTATTATTTTCAAACTTATCTATTATGAATGAATATTTAAAAAAAAAAAAAATGAATATATATATGCAATTGCAGACCGTCAGACATGCTAAGTGGTATAAAAAAAAAGGGTGCAAAAACTATGACTTGCTTGGCAACCTATTTGGTGACACATCTGCTAGTGGTGTTCGTGCCTATCCTTCAACTAGGAGTCCACCACGTACTAATTTAAATGCTGATGAAGATGATGGCAATGATAGACATGAAGATAATGGAGAAGAATTACCACCCATGGATGACGAGATGGATACTAATACTTGTCATAGGAGTCGGTCTCCCTATAATCAACGTGCTAGAGAGAGCTTCCAAAACAGAATATGCAGTATCATGAGTGGATTTAGTGAGCATTCAAAGAGAAGAGCTGATGCTGCTGAGTAACTCCGGGTTAGTTCAAGTTATCTTGTGAAAGCTGATGAGGAGGGTGAGATCATGGATGCATTCCTGGCGGTGTTGGATAACATGGTTGGTATTGATGATGATTATTACTACAAGGCCCTAAACAAGTTTTATGAGGATAACAGATGGGGCAAACTATTTCTTAGGCTTAATGAAGAGAGGAGGTGGGGTTGGCTTTTGAATTTGTGATCCACTTGCTTGTTTAAGACTGTTGATCAGTGTGTGGTGTTTATTTTGTTTTCCTTAGTGATTCGGACACAATGGTTATGGTTATGGTTATGGTTTATTTTGCTATGTTTATGTTATTCTATGTTTAGACTTATATGTAACAACTATGTGACTCTATGTGATAATTAATTATGTGGTTTATGTGATAATTATGTGGCTTTATATGATGATTATGTGGTTATTTGTGATAATTAATATTGTAATATGTAATTCTATCAGGTTTATTATAATGGACCCATTGGAATTTTTGCATACTTACGATGATGGTGATGATGGTGACGATGAGCACATTTTATTTTTATTTGTTTTACTAATGGACGAGTATTTTGAACGTAATATGAAGCCAAGGCCATGTAGAACTTCTGAGCTTCAAGGCCATGCTTATATGCTTGAAATATTGAGTGGCCACCCTGCTAGATGTTTTCAAATGTTCAGGATGGAAGTGCATGTCTTCATAAATCTATGTGAACGATTGAAGGGATTAGGATTAAAAGATTCTAGGTACTTAACTGTGCAAGAGCAAGTGGGAATGTTCTTGTATACTCTTGCACACAATGAGAGAGTTCGAGTAGGGGCTGAGAGATTTCAACATTCTACAGGTACAGTCTCCAAATATTTTCATCGATGCCTTTATTATGTGTGTAAATTGGGGCAGCAAATAATTCGTCCACCGGATTTTAGCATTCTACCTCCAGAAATCCGCAACAATGATAAGTTTTATCCATTCTTCAAGGTTAGTAGTTTGTTTTTATTTTTAGTTTTTATTTATTTATTTATTTTTTAACTCAAGTATATTTTTATTTCCTTATTATTTTTATTTGTATTATGAAATTCAAAAAATATATAAATATATTACAAATGTGGAATTGTGTTGGAGCAATTGATGGACCACACATCCACGCACATGTTCCATCATCAAATCAAATTCCTTACTGAGGGAGGAAGTCAGATACAACACAAAATATTTTGGCCGTGTGTTCTTTTGACATGAGATTTTCTTATGTATTGGCTTGATGGGAAGGTAGTGTAAATGACTCTAGAGTTTTAATGGAGACTATTTTCAATGATAGTATGCAATTTCCAACACCACCTGAAGGTAATGTTGTTGTTGTTTTAAGGTTGTTTATGCTTATATTAAAAATATACATTAATGTGTAGTAATATTTTGTGACAGGTAAGTACTACCTAGTTGATTCCGGATATGCTAATATATCTACATTCTTAGCACCACATTGTCATGTTCGGTATCATTTGTAAGATTATAAAGGTGGTAGGGGACAAGTACGAGGCCCTAAAGAGTTATTCAACTATAGACACTCATCACTTAAAAATGTCATGGAACGTTGTTTTGGGATACTTAATAAACGTTTTCCCATTCTTAAGTTGATGTCGAGTTATGATATAGGTGTTCAAGCACAAATCGTGGTTGCTTGTTGCACAATCCATAATTTCATTCGTGATGAAGCACGTTTAGATCGTTTGTTTAATGAATATGAAAATGAGAATGTTAGTCTTGAAGAAGATGAATTAGCTAGTACCTCTACACCTCATGTCCCAGCTGATGTAAGAGTTACTCAAGATCAAATATGACTGATGAATAGAGTTCATGATTCAATCACAAATGAGTTGTGGAACAACTTTCATAGAGGGTGATTCATAGTGTTATGTGGTTGCTATGAATTTTATTATTATGTATTATTAAGAATTGTGACTTTAATATTATTTGTTATGGTGTAGTCGTTATGAATTTTATTACTATGTATTATTAAGAACTGTGATTTTAATATTGCTTGTTATGATATTAGTTCTTCTTTTTTAGATTATATCTTTTATTGTGATTAAAAGTTATTTTTTGATAGATGAATGAAAAAATAAATTAAAAAAATTTCCCAAAAAAAATATTTTTGTAACAAATGTTTTACTAAACACTAGTTTCTATTTTTTGTTATTAAAATTGTGGCAACAGCAAAAGTTACTAAACGTTATTTTTGCTTTTTGTTTTTACTTCGAAAAACAAAATTATGTTTCTGGATCTTTGCGACTGCAAAAACAGAAAATGAAAACATTACTAAATGCACCTTAGAAAAAAAAAAATTAACATATCATGTTAGCAAAGTGATATAATGTCCTTTAACTAAAAAAAAGTGGTATAATGTCGTTGTCTTTTTGAATAATACCAATAAACACACATAGTTGGATATATTGTTGAAAAGGGTATTTAT